AAATTTTTAAACCAAGAAGTAATTCAGATAAACCCAAGATGGAATGTAGATGGCCACAAATGAATCTGTGTTATAAATAAATGACACAATCAAATGTAAGGGGGTATAGAAGATAGGACCTAACTTAAGTAATTTTGGAAAATATTGCTGTAACTGGATAAAGAATACACACAAACACTATACCTTATGTAATAGGCTGAAAATGGCCCCCCAAAAGATTTCCATGACCTAATCCCTGGAATCTGTGATTGTTACCTATATGGGAAAAAATGGGGCTTTACGGATGTGGTTAAGTCAAAGATCTTGAAATGGGGAGATTATCTGAACTATCCATCCAGATAGACCCTAAATGCAATCACATTTACGATTATAAAAGGGAGGCAGTGGGAGAGATTTCATACACTGAGGGAAGGCCATGTGAAGGCAGGTCAAAGAGAAATTTGAAGATGCTGGCTATGGTGGCTAATTTTATGTCAATTTGGATATGCTATGGTACCCAGTTGTTTGGTGAAACACCATTCTAGATGTTGATGCAAAAGTATTTTTAGATATGATTAAGTTAGTAGACTTTGGGTAAAGCAGAACTCTCCATAATGTGGGTAGGCTGCATTCAATTAGTTGAAGGCCTTAGGAGCAAAGACTGAAGTTTCCTAAAGAGTGAATTTGACCTTGAGACTGCAACACAGAAACCCTGCCTGAGTTCCCAGCCTCCCTAGTCTGCTCTGTTGATATTGAACTCAACTGAAACATCAACTCTTACCTGAATTTCTAGCCTGCCAGCTTGTCCTACAGATTTCAGACTTGCCACCTCTACAATCTTAACAACCAATTCCTTAAAATAAATCTAGATGAATGGATGGATAGATTAGATAGATAGATAGATAGATAGATAGATAGATAGATAGATAGATAGATAGATAGAGATAGACAGATAGATAGATGCTATTGGTTCTATTTCTCTGTCGAATTCTGACTAGCTTTGAAAATTGGAGTGATGTAGCTATAAGCCAAGAAATGCTAGCAGGCACCAAAAGCTTAAAGAAGAAAGGAATGGATCCTTCCCTACAGGGTTGAAAGTATGATCCTGCTGACACCTGGATTTTTGACCTGTAACACCAATTTTGGATGCCCCGCCTCTGGAACTATAGAAGAATGAATTCCTATTGTTTCAACCCAAAAAGGCTATGGTAATTTGCTATAGCAGTCACAGAACACTAACATACCCTAGTTGATAAATTTGTTTATCACAGCATCTGGGTTACCAATTCAGAAAGAACTTTACATGTATACTAGGACTGAAAAAGAAAGCAAATAGTTAATGACAGCCAGGTTTCTCATTGTCAGAGAAAGCAGTTACAAATAAACCAAAGGGGAATACTAGATGAACCTCTTGTTGCTAGAGTTATCAGCCTAAACTCATGTTTTGTTTTCAGTAGTTAGATACACCAACAAACATGTATATAGATATAGTATACATACATATATTTCCTAGGTGTGTCTACTGACAGATCCTAGGTCTGTCCACTGAGAAGCAGTTATGTGCCAGGAACCACTGTCTGCTTATACATATACCTCTTGTGACAATAAATCAAGAGTCTTAACTGATTTTGGAGTATTACTCTTATATTCTTAGAATATCTTTTCTAATCACAGAGAAAAAATTCATTTAACAATATTAAAATAGATTTTTTGGACCTAAACAAAATTAGATATACAGTGGCTATTTCTCTTCTAAATTTAACAGAGAGCTCTGGGGCTAGACCCCTTATTTCTGAAATCTCACTGAATAGAAGTGGGAACAAACTCCTATTTCAAAGGTGATAGAATATTTGATTTGTCTCTAGGGGAATAATTCTCTTTTAAAAGTTATCTTTATAAGGCTATTTGATTACACAAAGTTATTTTTGTGATTTGTATTTGAAACATTGCATATGCCTCTACTAGTTGGATAAGCTATGACCTTCAAACACAAACAACTCTGGTTCCTTTCTCCTTTTACCTTATGCTCAGATGGTGTTCAATCAAATGTATTTCTTTTAAACAAGATATATTTTTTCAATTTGAGATGTCAGCAGTGTGAAACCACAAGACAATCAGTTGTTATCACCTGGAACATATCACTACACACTTGGACCACTGCAACTGACTCCTAATTTGTTTATCCAACTCTAATTTCTCCTAACTGTGGCTGTATTGTAAGTTTAATTTTCCTAGTCATTTATTTTCTCTTGAAACATTGACATTAAAATATAAGTTCTGTATTGGCCTCAGAAACCAAGTCAAAACATTTCAAGATCCTCTATAAATCAATCCTATCATATCTATCAGGGGAACCCCAATATTTCACGCAGGTTTTTTTCTATTTTCCGTGACTGTCGGCCGGTCTGAGAAATAAAGGGAAAGAGTACAAAAGAGAGAAATTTTAAGGCTGGGTGTCTGGGGGAGACATCACGTGTCCGCAGGTTCCGTGATGCCCTCCAAGCCGCAAAACAGCAAGTTTTTAATAGTCATTTCCAAAGGGGAGGGAGTATATGAATAGGGTGTGGGTCACAGAGATCACATGCTTCACAAGGTAACAAAATATCACAAGGCAAATGGTCAGGGCAAGGTCACAAGGCGAAGGCAAAATTAGCATTACTGATGAGGTTCCCTGTCCCGTTGTGCTTGTATTGTCATTGATAAACATTTTAACAGGGTTCAAGAGCAGAGAACCAGTCTGACTAGAATTCGCCAGGCTGGAATTTCCTAATCCTAGCAAGCCTGGGGGCACTGCAGGAGGCCAGGGCGTGTTTCATCCCTTATCTGCAACTGCATAAGGCAGATATTCCTAGGGTGACCATTTTAAAGCCCCCGCCCCGGGAATGCATTCTTTTCCCAGGGCTGTTAATTATTAACATTCCTTACTGGGGAAAGAATTAAGCGATATTTCTCTTACCCATTTTCGGTAATAGGAGAAATATGGTTCTGTCCTGCCCAGCCCACAGGCAGCCAGACTTTAAGGTTATCTTCCTTGTTCCCTGAAAATCACTGTTATCCTGTTCTTAAGGTGCCCAGATTTCATATTGTTCAAACACACACGCTTTATGAACAATTTGTGCAGTTAAAGCAATTATCACAGGGTCCTGAGGTGACATACATCCTCAGCTTAATAAGATGACAGGATTAAGAGATTAAAGACAGGCATAGGAAATCACAAGAATATTGACTGGGGAAGTGATAAATGTCCATGAAATCTTCACAATTTATGTTCAAAGATTGCAGTAAAGATGGTGTAAGAAATTATAAAAGTATTAATTTGGGGAACTAATACATGTCCATGAAATCTTCACAATTTATGTTCTTTCATGGCTTCAGCTGGTCCCTCCATTTGGGGTCCCTGACTTCCTGCAACACATATCTATTAAACTCAATTTCCTGATATTATTCTTCATTCCAGTTAGGTCTATTCTTTAATTTCCTCTACACATATTAATAGTAAATATGTGATTGCATTTTTCTTTTGATCATATTAGTCCCCTTATCTAGAAAGCTCTGTCTCCTTTACCAATTCAGTTAAATTCTATTAATTCAATAATTGTTTAATGCAATCCTACTAAAGACTAACAACTAGTTAGGTAATTAAAACACAAAAGGCTAAAAAAGCATCAATCTTACACTTGAAAATTTTACAATCTACATACCTATAAAGTCCTAATTCAATTCTACCTCTTTGGTGAATCCTTCCCAGGTTTTCCAGTCCATGATGACCTTTTTCCCCTCATTCTTAAAGCGCTTGGTCTCTTCTATAACAAAAGTCACATTATAATAATATAGTTATTATATTATTGTTTTAATAACATAGTTATATTATCGTTATAATATAGTTATTATAATGTGCTTTTGTTATTTCCCAAGTTTTGTCTACTCAATCAAGTTATAAGTTCCTTGAGTATAAGACCACATCTGTGTTCTAGTCTTTTATATGCTGTCAAAATGCCATGTGCACTGTAGATACTTTTAAAATACTTATTTCATATCACTTATTGATACATGATAAATATAACCATGCTGATGTGCTAGACATTACTCTATTTAAAGTAAAAATAAATCATGGAATCACTGAATCATTCAAGGCTAAAACTAGTTTTGAATTTCTCAATAAACAAACAAATTATAACTTTTTCTCCTGTCTCATATATAGCCAATGTCTTTATTATATCAAAACTACCAATTAATTCAATCATAGAGTCAATAAGATAAATACCTGTTTAAAAAACAAAGAAAATCCAGCTTTTTAACTGAAATTTTCATCTTTTAAGCAGTTGTTGAAAGTTTGATGGTTCTTTTTTAACAGAGTCTAAAATTTTCTTGAAGTCTATCATTAGTTAGATGGAGATCCTTTTTAAGTCTTTGAGACAGCTTAATGTAATACAACTGTGATAATTTGTAGATACCCTGAAGAAGCAGTATAGACCCTTACCCAAAATTTGATCTGCATATTGAAACTGATGATGCCACACATCCCAATAGGGTATTAAAAGATTTTTCTAGTCATATATTAAGGCCTTCTAGGGAGAGCTGGGCAGGCCTCCTAAGCTAAACTGAAAAATAGCTTGAGAAGTAGGGAAAGAAGATTGGCTTTCAGTTTTTATGGTAGTTAGGGGGTGGGGCTGGGTGGGGGCTCCCATATGTGGTTTGAACTTCCTACTGGCACCAAAGGAAGAAGCAGCCAGGCTTTCTGATCAACTTGACCAGATGTGGGGTAGAAAGAGAAAAGAAGGGGTTAGGTTTAAAAACTCATCAACAGTCACATCAAAATAAGGAGTCAAACTCTTTAGTACTTGGTAACTCAATATAGCTAATTTACAAAGCACAAAATACAATGATATTGAGCAAAATGTTTACAGAAGTTCATCAAATGTTAAATATCTTTATGTAAGCTATATAACTAATTGAAAAATACTGAACACAAAACATAAAGATGAAATTGTTTTTTATTGACGGAGACAAAATTTTAAATGTTCCTCAAAAAATATTTAAGCAAAAAACATATAACAGGATCACCACTGATAAAACAATCCAATTTTCAGAAATTACTCTTGCCCTTCACATTTAATTTTTATCCATTGAAGGCATTAGCATGACTCATAAAATTAGAATTGTACCATGTGTTATATTAGAAGAAAATAACACAGATTTTGTTATTAACATAAATTATTTGAAATTATTATTATAGTACCACTCTGTATACTACATAGTGAAGCAGAAGTGAATCCCAATAATTTTAAAAGAAATTCTTAGTAGCTACAGTACACTTCTGCACTAACTCTGGAGTTACTACTGCAGTTCTTGTTCTTATCAAAGTACCAACAATACTACCAGAAAAAACCTTAGGTTCCAAGGAGAAGCAGGCTTAATATTTAAAATAAAGAGTAATGAAAAAAGCCTCAAATTCTATTAAGATTAATAAAAGTTCTACCTGAACACGGCTCACAAAATCCAAACCAAAATAAATGATTAGTTAATAGCACACACAAAACCCAAAATATTCAGTATTTCAATATTTCAATAAAGATAATCAAACAATGTAAACATTACTGCTTTAATCAACAAAATAAAGCAGTCTTCATGTTTTAAGCAATAATGTAAATTTATGCCCTCATGAATACAGAACAGTAAAATAATTCAAGGAATTAATGACTAGCTCAAAAAAAAGTAAACTGTGTTGTATTTTGTGAGGAAGATGAAAAACCTTTTAAAGAAGAAGAAGGTATTGAATTTTGACCCTGTCCAAATGAAAATGGAAAACTAAAATCATCTTTTCCAGCTCCAAATGTATGAGTTGAAGTGTCTGATGGAAAAGAAAATGTAAAGCCATCTTCTCCTTCTGGCTTCTCAAATAAGTTTCCTAAGGAAGATAAACATTACAATATCATGCTCTTCATCTTATATAAAATTTTTATAACCTACTGAATTATAGCATACTGCATACAATAAATATGGTAACACTCAATCATTCTTCTATTTAGCAGGTATTTAACTGTATTCCTCTTAAGTGCAAGGCATTGTCCTTGGTACTATGAAGATTAAAACAGACTCAAACTTAAACCCTATTTTCAAGTAATTTGAACTCTAGTATATAAAGAACTAGTATAAAAAGTAAAAAGTGGAATAAAACGCCTCAAATGAAGAGAATGATACAGAGGCACAGAAACAGACATGCAAAGGATGCATTAGAGTAACAGAAATCTATTCAGCTTAGCAGGAGCAGTGAGAAATAATAAAGATGTATTAAGCAGAAATTAATGAAGATGAGCTTGGAAAGATTGCTGAATGCCCCACTATGGAATCTGGACTTTATTTAGTAGATAACAAGAATTCATTGAAGATTTTCAAGCAGAGATATGACATGATTTGAACTGCTGTGTAAGTATTATTCAGGAGAGAATAGGTATAAAGGCTGGAACAAGAGAGTCTAGAAGTGGGACTAACCAAAATAAAATAAAAGTCCATTGTCCAGTAAAGACGTAATGAAAGGCTGACCTTATCTACAATCATAGCGATGGTAATGGAGGAAAAAATGCTGAATCTGAGAGATACTGTATAAGTTAAACTTATTCAACTATTATTTATTGAGTCACTACAATATACTGTCCATGGCATTGTTCAAGGAAACTGACAGAACATTAAAAAGAGTTCCAAAAGGAATTTTTAAAATAAGCTTTAAATGTAGCTCTGGTTGATGAAGCCCAGAATTGCCATTAAGGAAAAATACTGTTCTTAATTTATTATATTACTTATTAATAAAATTATAAATATACAAATATATTTTCAACATCCTAATTCTAATTTAAAATTATTAAATAATTTTGAATCTACAGTAATCAAATATGTACTTGAAACAAGTCTTTTAAAATATCTATTTTTATATAGAATTAATCAAATAGCATATTAAGCAAAATAATTTACTTTGCATCACTTTGAATGTTTCATATATTTTTTAAACTTTCATATATTTAATAACTTTATTTTTATTTTTAAACATCTCAGTTATTTCACCCTAAATAGAACCAAACCAACCAGCAATAAGATGGGTGGATAGATGGATGGATGGACAGACAGATGGATAGATGGACAGACTGACTACCAGATACTTGTGTTCTTCCCCTCTCCCTTTCTCACTTTATTTTTTTGACTATGTGTATTTCTCAGTACACATCCATATGACTTAAAGAAAAATAGGTATAATGGAAACATAGATCCAAAAAGAACTAAAATCTTGAATTTCCTTTTGAATAAATGAATTTGATTTTGTTTTTAATTTCACAAGAAGTTCATATGAAGTCTTCATAAAACTCATATGATCACTGTAAATAAAAGAACACATTACTGTGCAAGGCAGCATTATAGGTGCTGTGGGGAATTCAAAGGTACACTTAAAAATCCCTGCCCTCAAAAAACCTGTGATCTAGAGAAGACTTTGTATCTATTTATAAATAATGATGGTAGAATGCTAAAAAGTATAAAAAAGAAGAGAGATTCAGAAAAGAGAGGGAGAGATCTTTTTGAAAAAGAAGGTTGAGGGGATAAATAAAAGGTATTATGGAAAAGAATTCTATCTTGAAAGACAGAGATATAAGTGAGGACTGCAAGAAGTAAAAAGCAGGTAAGAAATTGTGGGCATACTTGAGACACACTGAGTTCCAGAGTCTGGTCAAAGCACAGGTTACTCTTATAAGATAAAAGGCTTAAGAGGTATGTTGGGGGATGAATAGAGATTGGTTAATGAGTATAAAAATCAGTTAGACGAAAGGAATAAGTTCTAGTATGAAATTTAAGAATAAGTTCTAGAGTAGTAGTATGGTTTACAAGGATCTATAGTATATTTTGACATAGCTAGAAGAGAAGATTTGGAATGTTCCCCACACAAAGAAATGATAAATGTCTGAGGTGATGGATATTCCAATTACCTTGATTTGATCATTACACATTGTATGCAGGTATCAAAATATCACATGGACCCCATAAATATGTACAACTATATACCAATAAAAAACAAAACAGGTAGTTGGAGCTAAATTAGAAAAGTAGAAGCATAATTTGATAGTCAATGGGGGAGTCACTTGAAGGTATCTGATTAGGGCAGTGACGATATGGCCAACATTATGGGCACTGAAGATTAATTAAGTGAGCTGTAATCTATACGTAAGCTGAAAAATGGAAAACACCAATTAGGATGTTATTGTAACAGTCCAAGTGAATAGTAAGACTCTGAAATATAATGGTTTCCATGAAAATAGAAATAAAAATAAATATTTGAGAGAGAGAACTGACAGAACTTGATGAATAGTTGAATGTAGTCACAGTCACAGAGAGAAGTTAAAATTGTTACTATGCTCCAAACATTAAAAGCTAGAATAATGGAGATACCATCAGGAACATCAGAAGGAGAACAAGTCTGATTTCAGCTACACTGAGTTTTTAATGTCAAAAGATGTCTGAAGAGATTTAAACTGTACAATCAGAAATAAGGTCCTAGAGTTTAGAAGTTAGTGCAGCAAGATATAAATTTGGTCATTATCTGTATGTAGTATATTTGAAAACACTGAAGTGAATGAGTGTCAAATGAATGAGAGTGTCAAAAAAGAGGATGTGGGTTGCACGCGGTGGCTCACGCCTGTGATCCCAGCACTTTGGGAGGTGGAGGTGGGTGGATCACCTGAGGTCAGGAATTTGAGACCAGCCTGGCCAACATAGTGAAACCCCGTCTCCACCAAAAATACAAAAAATTAGCTGGGCATGGTGGTGGGTGCCTGTAATCCCAGCTACTCGGGAGGCTGAGGCAGGAGAATCGCTTGAACCCAGGAGGCGGAGGTTGCTGTGAGCCGAGATTGTGCCATTGCACTCCAGCCTGGGCAACAAGAGTGAAACTCTGTCTCAAAAAAGAGGATGTAAATAGATTTAAATTTTTAGATGGTAGACATTTAATAAATACAATTGGTAGATTCATTCTGATCTCATAGCATTAAATACTATTTATAAAAATTCCAAAATCTGTGTCTCCATCTCACTGAATTCCAAATTCATATGTACAATTTCCTACTTTACTTTCACTTAGGTATCTAATAAATAGGCTTTTCAATTAAAACACTTCCTAAATGAAACCCCTGGCTCCTCAATCTCAAATTACTCTTACAGCCTTCCATATTTCTATAAATGGCAACTCCATTCCAAGTTATTCATGTCAAAACCACGGCACAATCCTTGTTTCTCTCTCTCAATCCTTATATCCAGTCCATAAGCAAATTCTTCCAGCTCTACCTTCAGAACACTTTGTAACCAAAATCTGACATCTTCTCACCACTTCTACTACTACTACTCAGTTCTCACTTTGTGTCATTTTATAGCTTCCTGACCTTTCCCTGCTTTTGCCCTTGTTTCTATAGTCTGTTCTCCACATAGCAGCCAGAATAACCCTTTTAAAACCTGTCAGATCACTTCAGTCCTTTACTTAAAACCTTCCAGAGGCTTTCCATCTCACTCAGAAAAAAACCCCCAAAGTCCTTAATGATCTACAGGTCCCACATGATTTGCTCTATCCACCTCTTGGATTTAATCTCCCACCAGTCTCTCCTTCCTTATTCCACAAAGCATACCAATTTAACTAATTTTCAGTGAACATACTGGGTATGTTCCCATTTCAAGACCTTTTTGCCCTTTGCTTGGAACACTTTTCCCAGTAGCTTGTATCTGCACCTCCTTCTGCTCAATGTTGACTTTTAGTGATGCCTTTCCTGACTCCCTTGCAATACAGCAATCACTTTCCCAATCCAAGTATTCCCCATTTCCCTTACTATACATTACTTTGCTGCATAGTGTTTATCACCAATAATAAGTAAAGCATTAACATCAAGCCTGGGCAGATTCAGGCCCACCTGGAAAAATGAACTTGAAGCCTGACTTCCCACAGCACTGTTTTCACAGAATTAAGGTAAACATAGAATGTTTTATCTATCTAGTCTGCTGTGTGAGACTGCACCTGAATTAGAGGAGCTATGAGTTAGCATACAGGCCTTGGGCGTCATGACTAGAAAAGTATAAAAGACTGGTGTGAAATTGAAGTTACATCTCTCTTGTGTCAAGGTGACCTACATGAAATATGCCTTTTGTCCATAGCAGCCTGACATGTTCCTTGGGTGGCAGTGGCAAAAGAAGGTGTATTACTTGGGTAGTTGGTGATCCTTTCAATGAAACAAGGATGCTGTACCTACCAGTATCTCTTGTCTTCTATCATTCTATAACAAAAGGTAATATTAGATTAAAAATCATAATATGTGAGTCTGACTATTCAAGTCCATAACAATTGTTGTTTAGTGTACTATCTGATAAATTATACATTGATTTATTTGTCTATTTTCAGTTTCTCACACTAGAACATAAACCATATGAGAATTTTTCATCCTTGTCCACTGTTCTGTCACCAGAGCCCAAAAGCATACCTGATATAAAAAATATAATACACATACACATTTATATTCATATGTTGAATGAATTAATCAATCAAAGGAAAAATAAAGAAAGAATATCCAATTAAAAGTATCAAAGAGAGAAAAGGAAATCCAAAAATTACAGAAAAACGATGGAAATAATCAACTATATCGAATGTTGCAAAGAGTCTTAATATGATAATAAATACAAGATACCCATAATGTTTGATAATTGGGAGGTCAATAACCTTGGAGAAAGTAAGTTTTAATAGAGCAGTGAGAAAAGCAAATTGCTTTAAAAAAGAAAGAAAATAATATCAGTGAGAAGTGCAGAAGTACCAGTAATTTCTAAAGAATGAATTAAGCACCTCAGAAAATAAGTTAGAGAAACTAAATACTATACTAACGAGTTAACATGTTTTCAAATGTAGCAAACTTCAAACAACTTACCAATCTCTTGCTCTGATGACAGAGGATTTAGATTTCTTGCAGAATAATGTTCATTAAACTGGAAAATAATTTTCATTACATATTACTTGTGAAATCAGTATATACAGTATATATATTTGAATCTAAAGCCTAGTTCTTCTAATACACAGAATTGAAGTAGACATATGGTACCTTTATATAGCACACTCTTATACTTAAAAAGATCTATCTTCAAAACCGGTCATTTATTTATATTAAAATAAGGTCTGTTGATTTGATTCAGGCAAAATACACTGTACTAAAGATAGCTCTTACTTTAGAATTTAATATGATCTTTTGCTTTATCCTGAAAGCTTTTAACAAATCAGGTTCTTGGTTTTGTTTTGTTTTGTTTTGTTTTTTGCCTAGAAAAGTAACAGAAAATGGATAGCTTCACATCCATTCAGATCAAGTTTTGCTGCCAAAAGTCTATTTTCTCAGTAAACAGGCTTTTTAAAAAAATGAGATCATGACAGTATTGTTTTCTGTGCACTCTTTTCCTCTTCACATTGCATCATGAGCTTTTGTCCATGTCATTATTCTTCTAAAATCTGACTCTTTTCATGGCTCTATAATATTCCTCCAAATAGACAAACCAGACAGTTTCAACCATCCTTTTATACTGGACATGTAAGTTGTCCCAACTTTGTTTCTTATATAAAAGTCACACCTGAATGAACACTGTTATGCACATTTATTTTTCTTTGACAGTTAATAAGGAAATCTGTTTTCTCATAGATTTCATAAGCCACTTGAATTTCTTTTTCAGTGAAGTATCTATTTGTCAAATGGACTTTGCTCATTTTTCTATTGAGAAAGTAATTTTTTACTTATTGGTACATATAAGCACTTTATATTCTAGAGATGTTAATTAATTCTTTGCAATCTTATTGCAAACATTTTACATCTTTGTCATTTTGCCCTTAAAATTTTTTAACATATAGAAGTTTAGATTTGGAGGTTGCCTCCAAGATGGCCAAATAGGAACAGCTCCAGTCTGCAGCTCCCAGTGAGACTGACGCAGAAGACAGGTGATTTCTGCATTTCCAACTGAGGTATCTGGTTCATCTCAATGGGACTGGTTGGACAGTGGGTGCAGCCCACAGTGGGCAAGCCAAAGCAGCGCGGGGCATCCCCTCACCTGTGAAGGGCATGGGGTTGAGGGATTTCCCTTTCCTAGCCAAGGGAGGCTGTGACAGACTGTACCTGGAAAATACTGCACTTCGCCCAAGGTCTTAGCAACCAGCACACCAGGAGATTCCCTCCTGTGCCTGGCTCGGCAGGTGCCATGCCCACGGAGCCATGCTCACTGCTAGCACAACAGTCTGAAATCGACCTGCAAGGCTGCAGCCTGGCAGGGGGAGGGGCATCCACCATTGCTGAGGCTTGAGTAGGTAAACAAAGCATCCAGGAAGCTTAAACTGGCAGAGCCCACCACAGCTCAGCAAGGCCTACTGCCTCTATATGTTCAACCTCTGTGGGCAGGGCACAGCTGAACAAAAGGCACCAGAAAACTTCTACAGACCTAAACATCCCTGTCTGACAGCTCTGAAGACAGCAGTGGTTCTCCCAGCATGGCGTTCGAGTTCAGAGAATGGACAGACTGCCTCCTTAAGTGGGTTCCTGACCCCCATGTAGCCTGACTGGGAGACTCCCAGTAGAGGCCAACAGACACCTCAAACAGGTAGGTGCCCCTCTGGGACAAAGATTCCAGAGAAAGGATCAGGCAGTAATATTTAATGTTCTGCAATATTTACCGTTCTGCAATATTCACTGTTCTGCAGCCTCCAGTGGTGATACCCACGCAAACAGGGTCTGGAGTGGACCTCCAGCAAACTCCAACAGACCTGCAGCTGAGGGGCCTCACTGTTAGAAGGAAAATTAACAAACAGAAAGGAATAGCACCAACATCAACAAAAAGGACATCCACACCAAAATCCTATCTCTAGGTCACAACATCAAAGACCAAAGATAGATAAAACCACAAAGATGGGGAGAAACCAGAGCAGAAAAGCTGAAAATTTCAAACATCAGAGCACCTCTTCTCCTCCAAAGGGTTGCAGCTCCTTGCCAGCAACGGAACAAAATTGGACAGAAAATTACTTTGACAAGTTGACAGAAGTAGGCTTCAGAAGGTCAGTAATGACGAACTTCTACAAGCTAAAGGAACATGTTCTAACTCATCACAAGGAAGCTAAAAACCTTGAAAAAAGATTAGACAAATGGCTAACTAGAATAAACAGTGTAGAGAAGACTTTGACCTGATGGAGCTGAAGACCACAGCATGAGAACTTCGGGACACATGCAAAAGCTTCAATAGCGGATTCGATCAAGTGGAAGAAAGGACATCACTGATTGAAGATCAAATTAATGAAATAAAGCAAAAAGACAAGATTAGAGAAAAAAGAGTAAGAAGAAACAAAGCCTCCAAGAAATATGGGAATATGTGAAAAGACAAAATCTACGTTTCACTGGTGTACCTGAAAGTGATGGGGAGGATGGAACCAAGTTAGAAAACACTCTTCAGGATATTATCCAGAAGAACTTCCCTAACCTAGCAAGGCAGGCCAACATTCAAATGCAGGAAATACAGAGAACACCACAAAGATACTCCTTGAGAAGAGCAACCCCAAGGCACATAATTGTCAGATTCACCAAGGTTGAAATGAAGGAAACAATGTTAAGGGCAGCCAGAGAGAAAGGTCGGGTTACCAACAAAGGGAAGCCCATCAGACTAACAGCAGATCTCTCGGCAGGAACCCTACAAGCCACAAGAGAGTGGCAGCCAATATTAAACATTCTTAAAGAAAAGAATTTTCAAGCCAGAATCTCATATCCAGCGAAGCTAAGCTTCATAAGTGAAGGAGAAATAAAATCCTTTACAGACAAGCAAATGATGAGAGATTTTTGTCACCACCACCAGGCCTGCCTTACAAGAGCTCCTGAAGGAAGCACTAAACATGGAAAGGAACAACCAGTACCAGCCACTGCAAAAACATGCCAAATTGTAAAGACTATCGATGCTATGAAGAAACTGCATCAATTAACAGGCAAAATAACCAGCTAACATCATGACAGGATCAAATTCCCACATAACAAATATTAACCTTACATGCAAATGGTCTAAATGCCCCAATTAAAAGAAAAAGACTGGCAAATTGGATAAAGAGTCAAGACCCATCAGTGTGCTGTATTCAGGATACCCATCTTAGATGCAGTGACACAAAGAGGCTCAAAATAAAGGGATGGAAGAAGATCTACCAAGCAAATGGAAAGCAAAAAAAAAGCAGGAGTTGCAATCCTAGTCTCTGGTAAAACAGACTTTAAACCAACAAAGATAAAAAGAGACAAAGGCGGCCATTACGAAATGGTAAAGGGATCAATTCAACAAGAAGAGCTAACTATCCTAAATATATATGCACCCAATAAGGAGCACCCAGATTCATAAAGCAAGCCCTTAGAGACCTACAAAGAGACTTAGATTCCCACATAATAATAATGGGAGACTTTAACACCCCACTGTCAATATTAGACAGATAAACGAGACAGAAAGTTAACAAGGATATCCAGGACTTGAACTCAGTTCTGCACCAAGTGGGCCTAATAGGCATCTATACAGTACTCTCCACCCCAAATCAACAGAATATATATATAAGTGCACCACACTGCACTTATTCTAAAATCGACCACATAATTGGAAGTAAAACACTCCTCAGCAAATGTAAAAGAACATAAATCACAACAAACTGTCTCTCAGATCTCAGACCACAGTGCAATCAAATTACAACTCAGGATTAAGAAACTCACTCAAATCCCCACAACTACGTGGAAACTGAACAATCTGCTCCTGAATGACTACTGGATAAATAACGAAATGAAGGCAGAATACCTCTATGCAAATAAACTAGAAAATTTAGAAGAAATGGATAAATTCCTGGACACATACACCCTCCCAAGACTAAACCAGGAAGAAGTTGAATCTCTGAATAGACCAAGAACATATTCTGAAATTGAGGCAATAATTAATAGCCTACCAACCAAAAAAAAGTCCAGGACCAGACAGATTCACAGCTGAATTCTACCAGAGGTACAAAGAGGAGCTGATACCATTCCTTCTGAAACTATTCCAATCAATAGAATAAAAGGGAATCCTCCCTAACTCATTTTATGAGGCCAGCATCATCTTGATACCAAAGCCTGGCAGAGACACAACAAAAAAAGAGAATTTTAGACCAATATCCCTGATGAACATTGATGCAAAAATCCTCAATAAAATACTGGCAAACCAAATCCAGCAGCACATCAAAAAGTTTACCCACCACAATCAAGTTGGCTTCATCCCTGGGATTCAAGGCTGGCTCAACATATGCAAATCAATACACGTGATACATCACATAAACAGAACCAATGACAAAAACCACATGATTATCTCAATAGATGCAGAAAAGGCCTTTGACAAAATTCAACACCCCTTCATGAAAAACTCTCAATAAACTAGGTATTGATGGAATGTATCTCAAAATAATAAGAGCTATTTATGACAAACCCACAGCCAATATCATACTGAATGGGCAAAAACTGGAAGCATTCCCTTTGAAAGCTGGCACAAGAGAAGGATGCCACTCTCTACCACTCCCTATTCACTGTGTTGGAAGTTCTTGCTAGGGATCAGCAAGACAAAGAATAAGGGTATCAGTTGAAGAAGAAGTCAATTGTCCCTGTTGCAGATGGACATGATGTTATTTAAAACCCCATCTCTCAGCCCAAATCTCTTAAGCTGAACATTCCGTTCAGGATACAAAAATCAAGTGCAAAATCACAAGCATTCCTAAAAAAAAAAAAAAAAAAAAAAAAAAAAAAAAAAAATACACAATAACAGACAACAGAGAGCCAAATCTATGAGTAACTCCCAATCTACAATTGCTACCAAAGAGAATAAATATACCTAGGAATCCGAAAAACAACTTTACAAGGGATATAAAAGACCTCTTCAAGAAGAACTACAAACCACTGCTCAATTGGATAATAAAAGAGGACACA